TCCGGTTGTATTTCCAAAAACGTTGAAAATACTTTTTAAAAAATAATGAATTAATGTCGCGTGTTGTACTGGCTCTCCATGCTTTCGGTTAAGTTAGATAAAATATATACTAATGCTATTTGATACGTTCTGCTTTGTTAAAAGATTATGTGAGAGAAATTTTTATTTTGTTTTATACCATTTTTTTTCTACAGTTCAAAATTAATAATATCATCTTGAAAAGAAAGTGAGAAAGGGTGTGAATGATAAGTAAAATAAACTTAAATTGTGCTATATAAGATGATACAGAAATAATGAAGTATGAATGAAAGACTATGAAATTAAACATGAATAAAAATCGTGTTGCATTTACAAATATAAGAGTTTAATAATAAGCCTATGTTAAATATTTGACGATAAACGTGTGATTTATTAAATAACTGGTGATTTAAAAGTATCTTATTTTTTATAATGCAATTTAATATTAATGTGTCGTCGATAATTTTGTATTTTTTAACTTCCAAATTCGTTATCAAATTTCCGTATTAAAATTTTGATGTAATTTTATTTATTAAAAACTCAAAAATTTTAAATTTCAATAAAGCTTTCGTAGAACAAAGTAAATTGGAAAAGTTGTTAAATAAGATTAAAATGTACGTACAAACGTTGAATGATAACTTTATGAGTAAAAATTAAGTTGGAAGTGTACAGTACATATACTATAATGTCATATTTTCTTGATTCTACATTGCACATTTTTATCCATTTGTATGAATTAGAGATGTGTCTTATGGTCTATGGAATTCAAAACGACAATTGTAAGTCATGGCGAGTGGGCTATAGGATATGGCAGTGGTTCCCAAATGTCAAATTCTAACAAGTAAAATTTGCAAATTAGCAAAAATAGCCAATAATTTTTTAATTAAAGAGTTAAGATGTTAAGTAAAAAATAAATAAAACACGTATGTAAGATAACAAAAAATGTAATTGAATAAATTTAATTAATTATAATTAGTGGGATGGATAAGCCTATTGATCACTGCACATTTTATCAAATATTGGAATCAAACTGGTCACAGCCACCCTTGTTTCTATAATATATAATGTAGATATTTAATATATTATATTATATATATATATAATAATATGTTTAATATATAAAAATTTTATAATAATTTGCCACGCCATGGTGCACACTTGGGAACTGCTGTTATATGGTATTTGCATTTAATAGATATGTTTGCCTGTATAGCTTGGTGATTACATTAAAGGAAGATTTGCTGATAAGAGTTTAATTTAAAATTTAAACTTCTTTTTAATGTTTAAAATATCTTCAAGATGACACTGTGATTTGGCATTAAAACAATTAGTACTGGTAATGGTATATGCAGAAGAGTAGTGTGATAGAACTGCCAAACATTATTTATTTTGTGGAATTCATATTGGTTTTTCCAATTTGTTACTCATCAAAATGTAATAAAACTGATTAGCCTATTTTAAAAGTTTTTTCCTCCATAAAATAATTAAATCTATAAAAACCTTTAAAATTTGCTTTCAATATCATATATCATATATCTGATTGAAAGAATAACTAATCAAGCTAAGTAATTGTAAAAGTTAAAAATACTTTTCATAATAAAAAAAAAGACAGGAATTCATATTTTGACAAATTGTTTAAGTTTTTTTCCTGTCTGATGCATATTAATAATGCATCAGACAGGAAAAAAATATGGAAAAATGTTTTAACTTAAATGGAACACATGTAGAAAAATAAAGCACTAAATTTAGCTGTTGTTTTATATATTAATACATTTTCTGGTAACTTTTCAAACACCACTTATATAACTATTTGTTGGATTTATAAATTATTTACATACTCCAAACCATACATGATTAACTATATTCCAGTGTGGTGAGTGGTTGTTTATAAATTACTGTTTAAAAATGTGTTATATATAATTCTGCACATTCCATAAACTGACTTTTGTCTTTTTTTGTATTTTCTTTGTCTTCCTTTCCCTCTGTTATATATAACAGAGGGATAGTATGGTGATCGGTGAAAAAATGACCTCCCCAGATTTTTACATTTTTGAACTAAGGACCTTGAAATGTTGAGAAATGCAAAAAAATTCAGGGGTTTTTTCTGTATGTATGTATGCATGTATGTTAGTGTGTGTGTTTGTGTGGGGGGCACAATTTTGTTCACCCTCTTTGAAGTTAATAACTCCCATGCTTTTTGTCAAAAATTTCTGAAATTTTTCAGGAAGGTTTGTTTATTACGGGATCAATGTTATTAAATTTTGGTGATTAAAGGTCGCGGGGGTAGGGAGATAAAGGAGGTGGTGTGTATTTCCAGTAGGATCAGATTTAATGACGATTTTACTTGTTACTAGCATTTGCAATTTTTTATAAAACCCCTCCCTAAGCCAAAATTAAGTTTTTTGTCATTTTATAATATTTAAAAAGAATGAAAAGTTTTTAAATAAAGTATTATAACAGATGGTGCCACCAAATGTTGCTAGGAAAATTAAGCAACTCATTGCTGGAATTTTTAATTCTCATCTAAGTTTTTGATCTTGTATAACATGTATATATTTTTTCATTTTTGAGTCTTTGAATTATTTGCAATTTATAGATATAAAATGATATTTCATGATGATTAAATAATAATTCATAGAAATAAATAGTTTTAATATATCTAAAAATATTTTATCAGTTCATTTTCTATAAAGTTTTAGGGATAAAATGCAGTAGTAGTAACTTTTACAACAAAATACAAATTTTTAATAACTGATTAAGATGAGAATCTAATCTACCCAGACATTACTATGCAGTAGTGCAGGATATTTTATAGTGTCGTGAACTTCTTAAGACATTTTTAAAGAACTATTGATTTATTAAGGAAACTGTTATTTTAATAAAAGTAAGTTTAAAAAAACCTAGAAGTTTTCTATAATTGGAATGTTGTTCTGCCATTAATTTTTGATTACTGTGCATAACATTTATATTAGAATATGTCAATGAAATATTTGAGTTGCATAAATGTAATATTTGATCTTTTATGGTGTTTTTTTTCAAATATTGTAATATTCTAGTATATAATGTAATGTTTATTTAGGACTAGTTTCCTTTTATATAATTTGACTTGATTACAGTAGAGCGTCGTTTATCCGAATCAATTGGGGACTGGGGTTGTTCGGATAACCAATTATGTACGAAAAAATATATTAATTTATCCCGTGTTGAAATTTTTCTCCGTNAGAAAATACGAAAACTATTTCATGATGAAATTTCAGAACATGAAATAAGATTCAGTGGCAAAGAACATTTTAAAGTTAATATTTTTTTGTTGTATGCGATTCTTTAATTAGCAACATTTTAAAAAATCTGAGGGATATAAAACTATTAACAATAAATTCAAAACAATTTTTCATGATAGTGATGTTAGTGACTCTTCAATGGAGGAATTAAAATGTTATGAACAAGATTTAAACCTAGCAGAACTGAAAAATAAAGTATTACGGTTTAAGACTTTTATAAGTAAAGAAAATATTATTTCGCCTGTATCCATGTGGTCATTTATTCAGGAAAATAATATTATTGCAACATTCCTTAATTTAAACATAATTCTGAGAATTTATTTAACACTTCCAATAAGCAATGCAAGCGGTGAAAGATCATTCTCAGTAATGGCCAAAATAAAAAATTTTTTAAGATCCACATTAGGCCAACAAAAATTAAATAGTTTATCATTACTTTATATAGAAAAAGACTTATTAAATAACTCTATTAATTATGACAAACTAATTGACGAGTTTGCAGAATTAAAAGTGAGAAAAAAGGCAATATAACTAATCAATCTGAGTATATTTGTTTAAGTATTATTGTTTGTTTTAATAAATTATGTTTATTTAATTTTTGTACATGTATATTATTTTTTTTCCTTTTTTTCTTGGAATTCGATAATTAAATAGAACTACATAGTATATGCTTTAAAACCAAACTACCAAACGCAAAGTATGTGTCATGACTGAAAAATAGGCCCGGAATTACAATGTTGCCTAGGGCCCGCTTTAGCCTTAGTCCGCCACTGGAAACAACGTTAAAATTATGGCGTAATAATCAAGTAAATGTGAAAAATTGTAAAATAATATAGGCCTAATTTGTTATACATATGTATTATCTAAGACTTTATTAAACATTTTTTTTTAATTGTTGTTTTCTTTAGTCTCCGGCCCCAATTAAAAATTATTTGTATGTATTTATATGCGAAATTATATCCCGACTTACGCGAATTCGACTTACGCGGTTACCGCTCGGTCCCACCTATCGCGTAAGTTCGGGGTATTACTGTATTTAAAAAAAATTAATACAGCAAATTTAAACACTTTCGCTTATCTATTTAAATAATAAAATAAAGTTAAGAATCACTTTTATATTTAAACTACACTATTTTAATTTTTTAGAATTTGTAACAAAATGTATTTGTAAAACAAACGCGTTAGCTCAATGACTGTATTCTATTTGAATAAAACCGTCGATCGACGGGATTCTGCTAGTATATAAAATATAAAATAATTCATTAAATGAAATAAATTTTAAAGCGTAAAAATGGCATTCGATTAAAGTTACTTTAGTTTTACTTTTAAAATTATTTGTTGAATCAAAACTTATCATACTTTTGATAGGAAAATTTTAGAAAATTAATGAGCGTGTCGTCTAATATCTCGATATTATATTTATTTACAATAATAAATGTATTTATATTATTTTTGGAGACATTCTTTGATAATTATTCTAGAAAGAAGGAACCGGATTCGATTTCCTCGGTATCATCTATCTTCCCGAATATTAAAGAATATTTTAGAAAAATAGTGTTTGCGAACATTTAAATTTATTTCATTATTTTTTTATTTTGGCTTATAAATTTTGTATTATAAAAATGTTTATATTATATTTTCTATAATAACTTGAAAAATATTTGTAGATTTTAAAACACTTGAGTAAAAATAGTGAGAGGGCGTTTATATCGTTTGGTTCTAGTCTACTTATAAATAGAGAAGTGCGTATCCGTAAGTGTTGACATATACTATTGAGTTTTTAGGCGTTACTTAATCGTATTTAAGCAATTAAATGATACGTACCGACGATTCTACCGTATTAAATTTAAGCCGTATCGTAATTTATCCTATTAACATCAATTTTGATTCATTTAAAACTTAATTTTTACTCGTGGTTTGAAGTGTGAAGCAATCCCAGAAAATATTTGCTCCACATAAAGATGCGAATGTCCTCGTATCTGGCTTAAGAAATACAATTCCCAGTTTAATTTTATTCCCGAAAAATTGAACGTAATTAAACTCCGTTTAACGTCGTCAGTCTTTTCTTTTCTAAAATTTAATTAGGAAGGCTGAAAATAACTTTATAATTGTCTTTCCACTTTAATCGTGTCACAGAAATTCAAATAGATTATTCAAGATCACGTGATGTCAAGTTTTGTATATTTATTTAATTATACTAATTAATGAATGATACAGTTGAATTTTCCCTGGTATTATTTTTGAGAATAAATTAATTTAGGTGATGAAATTTGGGTTGTTTGTGTAATTAGTAATGAACCAGAAGGCAAAAAAAATTGGCAACTCGATCAATTTGCTTCCAAATATAGAATTGCGTAAGTAGTTTTTGATTGTAGAGGAAATTACAAAACCGTTTTGTCTACAAAGTTCTTATTTTGTGAATAAAGTTAAAAACTAGGGAATGTGTCGTCGTGGAATAACTCGCGATGGTATTTTTCCGACTGCCTCCGAAATTTTTTTCGGCGTGACGAAATCTGTAAGAATTGGCGAATCGTTTGATTCGTCGTTCCGTAGAGTCGAATTATATTTTAAAAATATGACCGGACTTAAAAATTTGAGTCCGGTTGTATTTCCAAAAACGTTGAAAATACTTTTTAAAAAATAATGAATTAATGTCGCGTGTTGTACTGGCTCTCCATGCTTTCGGTTAAGTTAGATAAAATATATACTAATGCTATTTGATACGTTCTGCTTTGTTAAAAGATTATGTGAGAGAAATTTTTATTTTGTTTTATACCATTTTTTTTCTACAGTTCAAAATTAATAATATCATCTTGAAAAGAAAGTGAGAAAGGGTGTGAATGATAAGTAAAATAAACTTAAATTGTGCTATATAAGATGATACAGAAATAATGAAGTATGAATGAAAGACTATGAAATTAAACATGAATAAAAATCGTGTTGCATTTACAAATATAAGAGTTTAATAATAAGCCTATGTTAAATATTTGACGATAAACGTGTGATTTATTAAATAACTGGTGATTTAAAAGTATCTTATTTTTTATAATGCAATTTAATATTAATGTGTCGTCGATAATTTTGTATTTTTTAACTTCCAAATTCGTTATCAAATTTCCGTATTAAAATTTTGATGTAATTTTATTTATTAAAAACTCAAAAATTTTAAATTTCAATAAAGCTTTCGTAGAACAAAGTAAATTGGAAAAGTTGTTAAATAAGATTAAAATGTACGTACAAACGTTGAATGATAACTTTATGAGTAAAAATTAAGTTGGAAGTGTACAGTACATATACTATAATGTCATATTTTCTTGATTCTACATTGCACATTTTTATCCATTTGTATGAATTAGAGATGTGTCTTATGGTCTATGGAATTCAAAACGACAATTGTAAGTCATGGCGAGTGGGCTATAGGATATGGCAGTGGTTCCCAAATGTCAAATTCTAACAAGTAAAATTTGCAAATTAGCAAAAATAGCCAATAATTTTTTAATTAAAGAGTTAAGATGTTAAGTAAAAAATAAATAAAACACGTATGTAAGATAACAAAAAATGTAATTGAATAAATTTAATTAATTCTATAATTTGTACTTGTGACACCGTGTCACAATAAATGTAACCATTGCTTTGCACTGATCGTGTCATACTTGCTTTTTAAATACTTTGCTAGACAAATAATTTTCGATACTGATCATTGTCTCTTACTTGTCATCTACTGTTATTCACGTGTAAATAGCAGTAAATAATATTTTAAAAACTGGATCATCAATTGATATTTAATTTCTTTATATTCATTTTTTCATTCTTATGAAGCTTGAAAATTGTCCTTGTTAATCTCCTCTTGGAATCAAATATTTAATAATTCTTTTGTTATAAATTGATCTGGAATATAATTACAGTTATTGATGTAATGTTCCTAAAATCTAAAAATTGTCATAGAAAAATCAATAGGTGGAATACATACCTGACTGCTTCAAATATCATATAAACAGATTTATGGCACTATTTGCATTCATGGTTGAAAAGCAAATCAATGTAAACTAATTAGAATCAGTTTACTCTAAATGTATGATTGGTTATTATTTAATTTCTGTTCTAATTTTTAATTCAGAATATGCTTGTGAAACTTAATATTTTTAAAGTGAAATTTTATCTTTGTAATGGTGATCTGAACAGATTAGTTCCAAAAGCATTTACTGTTTAATAAAATTTTCCTTCTTCTCATTGTTTAAGAATTTTTTGAGGTTTAAGTTTGATAGTTTTTAAGACATTAAATGACTATTTTCCTTAACATATTCTTTGCTTTTTTATGGAAATTATATTTTATTTCATTAAGCTTAATTCATCACTTTTAAAATCTATGAAATATTTAATTATTAACAAATACAGTAATTTAATTTTTATACATTGCATTTTATATTTGAAATCCCTGTCTTTCTTCATAATGGGAGCAATTACATTCAGACTAGCAGACCAAAAAAATAGTTGTGGATTGACTATTAAAATTATTGAATTGAAAACTGGGTTAAAGTAATATTCTTTAAATGATATTTGGCCATTTTTCATTTTTGATAAAATCATATAGTTATTGTAACATCATCACATTGCTGGACCTACAATTTTTAATAATATTTTTATTTAAAAACTCATGTGATTTCCAGTTCAGACTCTGAACTTTCTATATCTGGTTTCAATTTTGCATCTATCTAACTCTTTTCAAGATAAACGAAGAACAAACAGATGACAATGGAAATCTACAGAATTGCAATTTGAAAATTTATTGGACTGCAATTTGAAAATTGCAGCCCAATAAGTTTTTCTGTAAAACATATTACATTGACAAAAAAGTTATTCATTCAGAGAGAATTGTATAATTACTGCAAAAGCTGGCATACATTTCAGACTGGTAAGTAAATGATTACAGTTGGTCTGATTGCAGGTAATGTTACTAGAGTTTCCTTAAATTACTAATCCAGTATTCTGTAAAAAGCTCACAGAGAAAGTATATGTTCAGTGTGTCTGCTGATTGAAGATCTTCAAATGCCAGGCTGTCAAAGATGTTACACACAACTGATGGAGTTTAAGAAAGACTGCACCATATGGTTGAGGAAAGTAGGATAGCCATTTTTCTGATTTGTGCACTATCTGGCCATTCTGATTCAGCTGGTATTGAGGCCCACATAAACTACCAAGACAGATGATAGTATGATCATGAGACAAGCACAAAAACCTGAATGTCATCTTTGTCTAATTACAGAAACCCTTGCTACAGAACTCTTATCTTCTCCCATAACATAATATACAGGCTGTTTGAATTTGAGAGTTGGATTTCATGCCTATCTTTGATTAAAAAAGAGAAGAACAAATTATCATATAGGAATAAATATAAATAAAAATAAGAACCATTCAACTATCCAGCAAAATTCTTTAATAATTTAAAAAAGTTTTCAAACGCATTAAGTGTTCATCGTCAGTTATTTTGGAAACTGGAAAATGTTGCGCTCATGAATGAGGAATGGATGACAGTATTAGATTATAAGGCGTTATACCCATCAATCAAACTGCCTCCATGCTTTTGTGCTCTGAGAGATTTTTTATTTGCTAATGTTAATAACGCTACCAAATACCACACGCAGATTTTGGAATTAGCAGACTTGATTTGTCACACATCTTTCTTTGAATTTGAAAATAATACTTACCTACAGGGGCGGGGAGTACCGATGGGTAGCCCCATGTCGTCGGTCCTCTGCGAATTAGTACTTCGTAATCTAGAAATAATATCATCCCTTCCTTACAACAAGATATATTGATATATGCGAGATATGTTGATGATGTATTTATCTTGTGGAAGGATAATCGCAACATCAAGCATTTTGTAGATTGGATAAACAGTAACTCGTATGGTTTAACCTTGGAATTGGAGCAACAAGGGAGTAGTAGCGTTAATTTCTTGGATCTGACTATAACATGCATAAAAGGGGAAGTCCGAACCAATATTTATCGTAAACTGACATCTATACCCATCATTATCCCTAAGAATTCGGCGGATCCGGAGCATATTAAAATGGCGGTGTTTCGATCTTGGATAAGGAGAGCACACACGCATTGCACAAATGTTTGCAATACTGTTAAAGAGTTACAATATATACGAAGAACTGCCACGCAACTTGGCTACGGGAGAAGAAGAATAGAGGCTCTCATTAAGAAAGATAATAATCTTACAAGGAGGCAAAAGCAAAACCACCAAAAAGAAAAAATGGTCCTCGATTATATACCCTTCCTTAAACCGATTATCAAGAGCGTTTCCGAAAGTAAAAACTTGCAGATAGTTTACCGACGTAATCCCACTATATACAGAATGTTAAGGAATGACAAGGGGGATTATGAACACAACTCTTTAACAGGAATATACTCGATACTGCTAAGAGACCACAGGTTCAACTCTAACTTAGTATATATAGGCGCAACTTTGAGGAATTTGAAAAAAAGAATCAATGAGCATAAGCTTTCAGTGAACAAAACAGTTGACAGCACAGTCCTTGCCACTTATGCTAAACAACAAGGCATTACTGTTTTCTGGGACCAGGCATCTATAATAAAAGCCACCAGATCTAGACATGCGGTAAAATATCTCGAAAAGCTGGAAATCCACAAAGCACAGAAGACCGCGCAGTGTATCAACTTTAGGGATGCCGACGGGCTTTTGTCCGCTTGGAAATATTTTTGCGACNAGTTAATTTAGTATC